GGGTGTGGAAGGGCAGGTTGGATGGGGCTTGGAGCAGCCTGGGCTGCTGGGAGGTGTCCAGGTCTGGATGATCCTGAAAGTCCCTCCAAGCCAAACCAGTCTGGGGTTCTATGGCCACAGGTACCACTGGTGCAGCTGTTGCTCATGACGATTTCTATTTGTTCCACTTCACAGCCTGTGTTGTTCATTTATTTGCTTTGTGTAGCATGGCAAGGGTTCAGTGTCTACCCCTGCTGAAACGCCTCCAGGCTTTTCTTCCCTTCAGCCTTTGTGTGCTAAAGCAGTTTGTTTCCCTCAGCTGTTTCCTGCTGTGCATGAAGGACGACAGCATCGAGGGGATCTACGACACCCTCAAGCAGTGCGCGCTCATCTCCAAGTCTGCTGGTGGGATTGGCCTGGCTGTGAGCTGCATCCGAGCCACAGGCAGCTACATTGCTGGGGTGAGGGTGCTGAGGGTGCCCCAGCAGGGCTTCCCCATGGGCAGCTACATTGTCCTATCCCTGGAAGTATTCAAGGGCAGGTTGGGTGGGGCTTGGAACAACCTGGGCTGGTGGGAGGTGTCCCTGCCCATGCAATTGAGTTGGAACTCGATGATCTTCTAGGTCCCTTCCAATCCAAACCATTCTATGATGTGATATGAGAAGATATGAAATTATGTGATATGAGAAGATATGAAATTATGTGATGTGATTGCTGGGGTGAGGGTGCCCCCAGCAGGGCTTCACCTGCTCTCAGGAAATCTCTGTATTTCAGCTGCCAAATCAAAGCTGCTGCTGCCGAGTCAGTTTTACCTGGCAGTCAGTGCAGCTCCAGAGTCCTTCCCCAGCCAGTGTGCTCTGGGGCAAGAAGGGTGGTTTTCCTCAGTGGTTTGACTTCCTAATGGAAGTCCTTCCAAAAAGAGGATCTTTTTAGTTTGGTCAGACAGTTCCAGCTTATTTATGTCACAGCAGCCTTTAAGTATCAGCCCTTTTCCTTTTTGTATGTTTAAGTGCTCAAGATCATCTCTGGATGTGTTTGGGGTTTTTTTGTCACAGTGCATATGACCCCTGCCATTTAGCTCACATTATGCAGAAGAAATAAGTTAGGAGGTACATTTATTCCCTTTTTATTAGCATTTGATTAAGTTTTTTTGGGGGACTGGAGCAGCTCTGCTCTGGAGCCAGGCTGGGAGAGTTGGGGTGTTGAGCCTGGAGAAGAGAAGGCTCCAGGGAGACCTGAGAGCAGCTTCCAGGGCCTGAAGGGGCTCCAGGAAAGCTGGGGAGGGGCTTGGGACAAGGGCAGGGAGGGATGGGAGAAGGAGGAAGGGTTTCCAGCTGGCAGAGGGAGCTGGAGCTGAGATGGGAGGGAGAAATTCTGGGCTGTGAGGGTGGGGAGAGCCTGGCCCAGGTTGCCCAGGGAAGCTGTGGCTGCCCCATCCCTGGCAGTGTTGAAGGGCAGGTTGGATGGGGCTTGGAGCAGCCTGGGCTGCTGGGAGGTGTCCCTGCCCATGGCAGGGCAATTGGATCTAGATGGTCTTTATGGTCCCTCCAACCCAAACCAGTCTGGGACTTGATGAGCTCTGGGATTTGATGAGCCCTGGGACTAATAGCTGATATATTCTTTTTTGCCTATTTAAAGAAGATGGGGAAAGGGGCTACCAAAAAAGTGTTTGGGGGGGTCTGTTCCCAGCTTTCAGCCTGAGAGTTCTGCAGGCTGCAGAAGGACATGCAGAAATCAGCCACATCTTGTCAAGCAGTTGCTTTTCAGTACTGATGTTCTTCCTGTGCCTCTGCAGACCAATGGGAACTCCAATGGGCTGGTTCCAATGCTGAGGGTCTACAACAACACTGCTCGTTATGTGGATCAAGGTGGAAACAAGGTACTGGCTTTCCTTTGGCTTTGGGTCTTGAGGGAACCTCAGTTCAGAGGGAGAGCTTCCACATCTGTGAAAGGTGGACCTGGTCACACCAGTGACCTGACAAAGTGGTTGGAGATGACACAGAATGAAAATAGGGCATTTCGCCCTTTCTTGTTGATATTCTGGAGTTCACTTTTGTGCATTTTGTCATGCAGGAATGTCTGTTGGTGTGTGTTTGCTGCTTGATGTCCATGTGTTCTGTCAGCCTCTTCTGGTTGTTATTAGCCACTCCTTGAATACCCTGTGGTGAATTCAGGTGTGAGACTGTAGAAGGCTTCTTGATCCTTGTCTTCACATGGTTCAGAAGTCACTGGAGACATGATATAGTGCACAAGTCCATGGGACCTGAGGGGATTAATCCCCAGCTCCTGAAGGAACTGGTGTATGAAGTTGCAAAGCCTCTGTCCATCATATCTGAAAAGTCTTGGAAGTCTGGTGAAGTCTGAGGAACCATAAACCCCATGGTCAAGAAGGGAGAAAAGGAAGACCCAGGGAAATACAGGCCAGTTGGCCTCACCTCTGTGCCCAGCAAGATCATGAAGCAGATCCTCCTGAAGGCTTTGCTAAGGCACGTGGAAAGCAAAGGGGTGGTTGGTGGCAACCAACATGGCTTCACCAAAGGCACATCCTACCTGACTAATTTGGTGGCCCTTCTACAAGGGGGTCCCAACATTGGTGGACAAAGGAAGAGCAGCTGATTTAATCTCCCTGGACCTGTGGAAAGCTTTAGACACTGTCCTGCACACCATCCTGGTATGAAACTGGAACAGTACAGATTGGATGGATGGGCCACTCATTGGGTAAGGAACTGGGTGGGTGGTCCCACTCCAAGAGTGGTCATCAACTGCGTGATGTCCAGGTGGAGACCTGTGACAAATGGTGTTCCCTAAGGGTCAGTACTGGGACCAGTGTTGTTTGACATCTTTGTTGGTGACATGGACAGTGGGATCGATGCCCCCTCAGCAAGTTTGCTGGTGACACCAGCCTGTGTGGTGAGGTAAGAGGCTGGAGGAGAGGGATCCATCCAGGGGGACCTGGACAGGCTGGAGAGGTGGGACTGTGCAAATGCACGAAGTTCAACAAGACCAAGTGCAAGGTCCTGCACCTGGCTTGGAGCATCCCAAGCACAAGTACAGTCTGGGCAAAGAATGAATCAAAAACAGGACAGAGGAGAAGGACTTGGGGGTGATGGTGGATGAGAAGCTCAACGTGAGCCAGCACCGTGCACTGGAGCCCAGAACCCACCTGTGCCCTGGGCTGTGTGACCAGCAGGGCCAGGGAGGGGATTGTCCCCTCTGCTCTGCTGGGACCCCACCTGGAGAACTGTGGTTCTGGAGCCCCAGCACAAGAAGGACCTGGAGCTCATGGAGAAAGCCCAGAGAAGGGCCATGAAGATGACCCAAAGGCTGGAGCAGCTCTGCTCTGGAGCCAGGCTGGGAGAGTTGGAGTGTTGAGCCTGGAGAAGAGAAGGCTCCAGGGAGACCTGAGAGCAGCTTCCAGGGCCTGAGGAGGCTGTTGCTGGTGTTTGATATGGGGTGGGTTTGGCAGCAGGGAGGGGCCCCAGGGGTAGCCCATGTGAGAAGCTCCACCAGCTCCAAACCCTGGGCCAAGGTCTGATTGTTAAGAGAAACAATGGATGCACCTCAGTGATTAACACAGGAAATCAGGAAACCTGAGAGGGGAGCAGAGGGGAGAGCAGTGCTGGAGCAGAAGTTAGGAAAGTTGGTGAGGAAAGAGAAGGAAGAAGTTCTCCTGCAGCCCATGGTGAGAAGGCAGATTGTCCCCCTGCAGCCCATGGAGGAGCATGGTGGGGTAAATGTGGACCTGCAGCCCGTGGACTTGGATCTGCAGCCATGAGGACCCAGCACCAGGGGAGGTGACTGTTCCCCAAGCAGCCTGTGGTTCTGTGGGCAGCCCAAGCTGGAGCTGCTCCTGAGGGACTGCACCTGGGAGGGACTCATCTCATGGAGGAGGGGAGAGGTTCCTGGAGGACTCTCCATGGGAGAAGACCTGTGGGGAAGTAGGGGAGGATGGTCAGGAATCCTTCTGCCTGAGAAGGAAGGAACAGCAGGAGCCACCAGCCTGTGAACTGATTCTAAATCCCATCCCCATCCCCCTGTGCTGCTGGGGGGAAAAGAGGGAGAGAAACCGGGTGATTTGGGTCCGGGAAGAAGGGAAGGGTGGGGTGAGATATTTAAGGTCTGCTCTTTGTTTTATCTGTGTCCTTGTGCATTTGATTAGTGATACAGTAAATTACTGCTTTTTCCCCAAGTTGAGTCTGTTTTGCCCATGACCCTCCTTGTCTGTGTCTGGAGCCACAAGCTTCTCACTGGGCCTTGTCCTCCCTGTCCCTCAATGGGGGTGGTGAGTGAGCAGCCACCAGGGTCTCTGTTAGTTTGGAAAATCTATGACACTGCCCCATCCCTGGCAGTGCTGAAGGGCAGGTTGGATGGGGCTTGGAGCAGCCTGGGCTGCTGGGAGGTGTCCCTGCCCAAGCAGGGGAGTTGAACTGGATGATGTTTAAGTCCCTTCCAACCCAAACCAGTCTGGGATTCTGTGATGTGATAAGTGAACCTAAGATTTGTCCAGCTCCTGTTTATACAGAGGAAAGAAATTTTTTGGTGCTAAATAATTTTTATGGAGAACCTGGAACTAGTAACATGGCCCAGTTATGGGAGCAACAGTAATGCAAAGCAGCTCGTGGAGATGCCTCAGTGAGGCTGTGAGATGAAGCTCCAGTTAGTTTGGGATATTCTGTGTGCTCAGGAGCGGGGCAGGAGGTCTTATTGACAACTGCAAATTGTTTTGATCTTGACTATGTTTTACATACCAGAGACCTGGGGCTTTTGCCATCTACCTGGAGCCGTGGCACTTGGACATCTTTGAGTTCCTTGACTTGAAGAAGAACACTGGGAAAGAAGAGCAGCGAGCCAGAGACCTTTTCTTTGCCCTCTGGATTCCTGATCTCTTCATGAAGCGAGTTGAGACCAACCAGGTAGGGAGCTTGGTGGGTTCAGAGTGGCTGTGTTAATGGAGAACCCAGTGACCTGCCCTGGGATGGAGGTCACAAAGAGCTGTGGTTTGTTCCTGGCAGCAAAGGATCCTCCAGAAAGAGCTGCTGCACCTTATCTGAGAACCAGGCTGTGCAGGGAGAGAACAGAATGGAGAACTTCAGTGGGATAATTGGCCTCAGTGCTTCATCTTGCAGCCTGTGACTTATGTGCAGTTACATGAAATTTTCACTCTGGAGTTTCCTTGAAACACCCAGATCTTCTCAGGAAATTGCCCTTCTTGTGACAGCTTGGATGTGATGTGGGCTCTGTCTTGAGAACCAGTCATTTCAGGTCTAAAAATGCAGTTTGGTCATAAATGTTCACATAATGGATTTGCCAATAAATCTGACTAGTCTGCTGAGCACCTTCCCCTGCTGGCAGAGCTGGTTCCTTGTTTTCCAGGCTGGGAAGAGCAGTTTGCATGTTCCTGGTCACAGTTAACAGGGGGCCTGAAGATCTTCTCTGAGTATTTTTCCTTCCTACAGGACTGGTCCTTGATGTGTCCCAATGAGTGTCCTGGCCTCGATGAGGTCTGGGGAGAGGAATTTGAGAAACTCTATGAAAGGTAAGAAAAGTGAATAGACTTTTAAAGTGATGATTGGTTGTTCACAGAACAGCCCTTGTGTGGTGTCTGAGAGCCAGAGCTCAGGTCTGTGGTGTTGGCTCCTTAGTTGTCAGTAAGTTCCATTATCAACTGATAAAAGGACAAAAATGGGGAATGCTGACTTCCCATTTGCTTCAAACTGTGACCTGCTCAAGACAGAACTGAGTATGAGTGATTGTTCTAGCTTCTTAGAGGGAATTATCGAGTGATCCCTGCGTAAAGTGGTCGATGGAATTGATCTGAATGAGTTGGGTAGGATGATGTGGCCAACAGGTCATGGGAGGTGATTGTCCCCTCTGCTCTGCTCTTGTGAGACCCCATCTAGAGAACTGTGCCCAGTTCTGGAGCCCCCAACAAAGGAAGGACACAGAACTTAGAGTGAGTCCAGAGAAGCCACAGAGATGCTGGGAGGGCTGGGGCAGCTCTGCTCTGGAGCCAGGCTGGGAGAGTTGGGGTGTTCAGCCTGGAGAAGAGAAGGCTCCAGGGAGACCTGAGAGCAGCTTCCAGTGCCTGAAGGGGCTCCAGGAAAGCTGGGGAGGGGCTTGGGACAAGGGCAGGGAGGGATGGGAGCAGGGGGAAGGGTTTCCAGCTGGCAGAGGGAGCTGGAGCTGAGATGGGAGGGAGAAATTCTGGGCTGTGAGGGTGGGGAGAGCCTGGCCCAGGTTGCCCAGGGAAGCTGTGGCTGCCCCATCCCTGGGGGTGTTGAAGGGCAGGTTGGATGGGGCTTGGAGCAGCCTGGGCTGCTGGGAGGTGTCCCTGCCCCTGGCAGGGAGCTTGGATCTAGATGATCTTTATGGTCCCTCCAACCCAAACCCCTCCATGATTCAGCTTTCAGTTTCCTTTGAACAGGGACCATTCAGAGTTCACACAGTTCAGGAGTGAACAGGCTCTTGCCTGCCCCACAACCTGCTGTTGTGTTCAGAGGGTCTGTCTGTCACTGGTGTTTCTGGGGAGGCTGGGAGTGCTGATGTGCCCTGTTGCAGCTACGAGCGGCAGGGCCGTGCCCGGCGGGTGGTGAAGGCCCAGCAGCTCTGGTACGCCATCATCGAGTCGCAGACCGAGACGGGCACCCCCTACATGCTCTACAAGGACTCCTGCAACCGCAAGAGCAACCAGCAGAACCTGGGGACCATCAAGAGCAGCAACCTGTGCACAGAGATCATGGAGTACACCAGCAAGGATGAGGTGGGTGGAGAAGAGGAACTTGTAGCGTTTATACAATCTTTGAATTGTTTGGGTTGGAAAAGACTTTGAAGATCATCCAGCCTCACTGCTCCCCCAGCCCTGCCCAGGCCACCCCTGCCCCGTGTCCCTCAGCACCATCTCCAGGGCTTGGAAACCCCTCCAGGGATGGGGACTCCCCCCCTGCCCTGGGCAGCCTGGGCCAGGCCCTGACAACCCTTGCCAGGGAGAAATTGTTCCCCAGATCCAATTTAGGAAAGATGCGACTGCTCCTGCTGCAGCTTTCTGGAACCTGCCTGACTCCTGGCTGGGGAAAGGACAGGCAGGCAAGAAAACTCTGGGAATGTTTTGAGCTCTTGCCCTGACTCTGGGGTTGGATTTCTGCTTCCTTCCCACTCCTGTGTATAAAACATGATGCACACCAAAGCAAACCCCTGGCAGCTTGAGGGAGACAGGAGCTCTTTGCCCTGCTGGTAGCTGATGGAAGCATCTCTTCAGCTGATGGTGGTAAAGCCAGGCCCCTCTCACCCCCAGACTTTCATTTCAGGAGCAATTCCCCCCAAGTTCCCTGTGTACCACCCTGATCTTGGTGCTGTGGGGATGTTTGCACCACAGCCATGTTAACAAAGGCAAAGGTAGGACATAGAAACGAGGTGATGCTGCTGCATCATGAAGCATCTCCAGTGCAGGGAGGCTCCTAAGGCCGTGGTCACTGAAGCTATCAGTTTCTACTGCCTAAGGTGCTGGGAAGCTCTTTAGCTCACATTCTTTGGCATATTTATCAAGTCCTGAGTGGTCTAGAGGAGGTGGAGAGCCTGCCTGCCTGCACTGCAGAAGAAATCTTAGCTGACTTGTTTAAACTCTCCTGGGGTTGGAAAGAG